TTGGTTAGGTGGACATTTTTTGCAGTGTTTGAGTGTCCTGGATGGATCGAAAGGCGCTATATAAATACAGTCCATTTACCATTTACATAACATAGTACATAAATAAAAAACAACCTCTATGGAACTTTGCAACAAATATTTCTGTAAATTGGAATTGTGGAAATCTCTAACCACGGCTGAGTCAGGACGCCACAGTTGTGTGGTTTTTGTAGAGCTGTACTCGGCTAGAGTTGGGTAAAGGTGTGTGTGTGTGTGTGTGTGTGTGTGTGTGTGTGTTTGTGTGTGTGCATGTGTGTGATTGAGTGCTGGGCCAGAGTGCAGTGAGACACAGGTGTATTAAATTGGGTCAGCGTTTTCGTTTCCCAGGGTGCGCACATACACACACTCCCAGCATTCTTTACAATGCACCCTGATGCACACACACATTGAATTTTCCATCCTCGTATGGACTTTGCATTGACTCCCATTCATTTTCTTACCCCAAACCTAACCCCTCACCCAAAATCAGCATCCCAACGAGGAGTATTGGGTCCCCACAAGGTTGTGTTTGTCAGGAAAATGAACCCCGTGGTGTGGCAAATACACATCCACTTCCTCCATAAACAGGATTAGGAGTTATTTTTGCAATGAAACAAAAATTCACAGCTTGACTCAGACAAATAAGGGAGGAAAAGCAAGTGTGTGTGTGCATGTGTGTGTACAAGTTTGTTCACATGGCTGCTTCGTCCATAGTTCGAATGGCCTGGAGATGACGGGGTCACACAAATGTCAACTCCCATCAAACAGGCCCCAGCTCCCATCAAAGCCAGCAAACTTTTCGCTCTGTGCGCTCGTGCGTCAGTTTTCATGGTGACCGCCCTTCCTGATGTTTACCTCCGCCTGACTGAACTGTTATCATGAAAGCAGCTCTGCGACAGCAGCAACAACAGAGGCGAGCAGCMGGAACGTACAGTACTGTGGAGCTGAACAACAAAAATAAAAGCAAAGACAAAAGTAAAACGCACCGACAGAGACTTAAAGCAGCACGGATCTGACTTCCAAACAAACACAAACCTGTTTCTCTTCAAGCTAAACAGTGACTCCAGGAGATAAAACAGCTTCAGAGTAGATTTTGAACGTGAAGCAGGAGGAGTTGTTGCAGCTTCTGACATGGATAAAATGCAGCCATAACTAGGTCAGTGTTAGAAACATAATTGGAGGTTAATTAGCTGAATTTATAATCATAATCTGCTTTTTTTCCCCCATCCATGTGTGTGGTCGACACAAGTTACACAAGCATGATTTAAATAGTCTGGAAGCAAATTAAGATTAAATTTTAAATGAGAAATTCTGAAAAAGATGAGCTGAAAACATTTACCTGCAGAGTGCTTCTGTGGCTAACTGAACTAAGTCACAGATATGTTTATCACATGTTGTCATTTCTGACTGTGTAAAACATGTAACTTAAGGCTCATTTTTGTCCAGCCCCAAATG